GTGTATAAAGTACCTGAAAGCCATACTCAAGTAAAAGTACAGATATCTTACCAGAAAATGACTTTGGCAGAAGTTGAAGTCACCGTTTACAATATTACTTGAGTAAAAGTCTTAAAGTATGTGAAATTTATTGTACTTAAGTACGAAAAGTATTTTTTTATATTAAATGTACTTAAGTGTTGAAAGTAAAAGTACAAATAAATGCAAAATGGAAAAGAAGCAAAAAAATAAAATAAAAATGTGTATATATATATATATATGTGTGTGTGTGTGTGTGTGTATGTATATATATATATATATATATATATAAATAAATGTATTTTTTTTCAATAACGCTTTAATAATAGTAACTTTATTAGGACCATGGAAACTAAAATACACAAATATGCAACAAACCGTCAAAAATTGTGCAGGGCTTTTTACTCTCTCTCTCTCTCTCTCTCTCTCTCTGTGCGCACGTGTGTGTAAGAGACTGCTTATGTCGACTGTATTTATGTGAATACACACCAGTGCAGGCATTTTGACACTCCATGTTTTGACCGTTTTAGGCGCGCTTCCGAAGACAAAGTCTACTATGCTTGTCCGTGTTCCACTCGGACCTCACGCGCAGAAAACATCCAGTCAGAAGCGGAGTGAGTTCGGTTTCACTGAACTCGCACTTTGGCCGGTACAAAAAATGTATTAAACATTTGATTTATTATTTAAACATTTTATCAGCTTATGCAGGCTCTACAACAAAAGGAATTGCTGATCTCTAGTGATGTCAAATTTTTGTAATAGATAATTTGTTGGTAAAGGGTGAAAGGTCTGGCAGGTGTGGCTCGCGAGCCATAGGTTCCCGACCGCTGGGTTAAAAGATTACAGTCCAGCTATTAGCCAGAAATCGTTTATACCTGCGACGTCCAAAATCAGCTTGCCACACCTGCCAAGAGTGGGGGAACTCAGAAAAAAAAAGTCCTACCATAAATATTTCTTGATGTGATACAATTACCTTTCCACATATATGAAAAGTTTATCAGGGCTCTAGAGTGCGACCAATTTGGTTGCACGTGCGACCTAATTTCTCAATGGTGCGACTAAAAAAAATCTGAGGTCGCACCGGTGCGACCAGCCGTTCGAGGGGAAAAAAAAGTCTCCGCGACTATGAAAGTCTCTCTGTGGTTCAACAACAGACACACATTAAGCCCATATCGTGGTCTAAACCAATCAGAGATAGTGAAGGGCGGACCCCCCCTCTGATTGGCCTCACAGGTAAGACTAGAACTTGTAAAGCTGCGGTGTTAAATGCGATGCGGTCGAAAATTTGGCTGCACCTAACTTTTGTGCTGGTGCACCTAAGAAAAAAAGTTAGGCGCACCAGTGCAACCAGTGCAAAAAGTTAGTCTAGAGCCCTGTTTATATGAAATAAATATATGAAGAAAAAAAAAACTTTCAGATAGATAGATAGATAGATAGATTTTGCTACATGATGTGAAACGGAAAAATCTATATTGCTTTCATATTACTTCCATCATTATTACTAGAGTCAAGTTTTTTTTACAGCACTTAGATGTCCTTGATTTTATTTGCTCAAGTCACTTGCAACCTGTAAATCTGTTAATGGTTTCCACGAAAACATCAGACATTTTAGTCTGAAAATGGCCTCTACCACTAAAAAAAAAAAAAGAAGAAAAAAACAAACAAACAGGAAGTAGACAGTATTAGTTAGTGCACTTCACTGTGAAAGGGTGACACTGAATCAGCAAGCTGCTGTCTGCGGGTCTCAGCTTCCTCAGTTCTATGTCTGGCCTGTCCAATGATTTATAAATGTCAGTAGAAAACCAAACTGTCATGAGTTATGAGAACACAATTAAGCAAATTCCACAAATTCCACAGTTCAGAGTATGAAAAGACAATGCAGAAAAGCTGAGCGGATGTGGCGGAAGACGAAACTTGAAATCCACTATAGCATATATAAAGACAGCCTTCGTGCTTTCAATGTGGAACTAGGCAAAGCTAGACAGTCATTCTTCTCAAACCTTATAAACAGTAACTTAAACAACACTCGCACTCTTTTTGCTACTGTTGAGAGACTGACAAACCCCCCAAGTCAGATTGCCAAGTCCTTCTGTATCATCCTGAAGCCTCCCTCTCAGAAACACACTCAGTAACAACCTCAGGGTAACGCGACTGCCACAGCACAAGGTCTTGTCCTAACACATGTACAGACATGAATAACGCGCACGGGCACACGCACACGCACACACACACACACACACACACACACGCGCAAACTCCAGGGAAAAATCAAAATGATCAGAGTTCATAAATTTCCTAACAATGAAACAGCAAAAGTGTTGAGAAAAATGCATGTACATAAACATACACACACACAAGCAATGTGAGTGCATAGATGAGAAAGGCACAGTCATGCATTTGCTGCCTTCCTGAACATACAGCTTGCGTCAACGCCGCTCTGCGTGTGTTCCTGTTGCCTGCTGACTCTGTGTGCGTGTTTGCATGCTTTTCTAGCTCAAGAGAGGACAAGGAAAACAGCAAAACTTGCAAATATGGTATGAAAAACATTTCACACCCTTGTTTATGGAAACATATTCCAGAAGCCAGTGTAAGCCATGCTGCTGTCAGGAAACGCTGTCCCAAACATTGTATTCCTAATAATTTAATAATAAAAACCATGGGAGAGGATCCAGCAGTGAGAAAAATAGACACAGTAATGGATGGAGATAGTAAACGTGTGTGTGAGAGAGACTTAATCAATCTCTCTGTTGTCTTGGGATGGAGCCAAGGGAAGTGCCAAGGATGTCTGGTTAGAATCACCTGTCAGCCGTTTTCACATGCGGACAATTTACAGGACACTATGCGAACCGCGTGACGTCGCAGAGCTGTTGTCAGAGAGCAAGTGTGCCCAAGCGCCCATAATTACAAACTATTTTAAAGAGCTCGTCCCTCTTACTTTCAACAGCCCACATCCAGAGCAAAGTAAAAGTTATTTGGAAAAAAGATACAGAAGTCAAGTACAAGCAATTTCCTAATTAAAACAGCAATATAATGGGAAAAAAAGGAACCCAGCTGAGATCGCTTCTCCATTTGATTTATTTTTCCACTGCTGAGGTGCTCTGAGCGTAAATGTTATTTTTCTAGACCACTTCCCATTGGGAACTCAAACTGGTGAATTATTCTGAATTCCCGCTTTCCATAATAGGAGCTTAGGGAACAGTATGAAGTGATTCACAATATCTTATATGCACTGGGCAATACTCCTGACAATAGAAAAAATACAATTCAGCTATTTTTAGAGAAAGTCCGACTTTTTATATCATTATATGTGCTTGCTAAGACAAGAAACTGCTCATTCCTCGTTCAAACACCTTTGGTAACCACATGGATGATAGTGCAAATTGTGCAACTTCTTAAGTAAAAGTATAATATTACTTTAAATAAGTAAGTTTTACAAGTGCAGAATTGTGATTTACAACTGTGGCAAGATGATTAAAAATTCTTTGAAGTTCTTTGGTTTTTACATTTTTAATTGCTCATAATGCCTGAAAAATAGCACAGACACTGGAAACTTTTTAGTGTGCATGTGCCAAACACCTGAGTTTGAGCACATTATCAACTTTGAAAGGCTTTGAGTTGCACTATTTGCTTCCGGTAAGCGTTTGCCTCAAAACTGAGGTATACTCTTTACATTGAAGGAGGGATATGCACTGTATCTAGAGACCAAAATATTTGCGGCATTTTTTGACTTCAGCCAGTAAGCAACCACCCAGAACACCCTAGTAACTATGGCTGTGTGATATTGAAGAAAAATGCGATATGCAATACCTTGCGATATTCGGTATTCGATATGCGATACGATATTGCTTAAAGTGTGTAAAATCAATTTAAATGATATTTACGTCTCTCTGTGTGTGCGCACGCTTTGCACGTTTGCGGCACAATGGAAGATACGCTGTGCGAGATGCGGCTTGTGCACGCGCTTCAGGTGTGAGTCAGACTACTAGTAACTGTATAGCAACTTGCTAAAATGACTAAACTTTATGGAAACCACCCAAAACATCCTGCATCAAGGCAGCGAGTACACATTTTCATCATAAAATGTAAAAATGTAGTGTAAGCTTTAGTTTTTGGAAGAGTGGCCATATTCAGAACATATAAGCCCACAACAGCTATGAAAACGAAACTGGTGGAGCGGAACATCATTCATCTGGGACAAAATCACATAAGAGAGGTTAACTCAGTCCACAAACTAGACAATGTTAGAGGAACAGGGTGCCTGTTAATCCATCAGGGCAGACAGGTGTCAAACTAGTCTCCAGTGAATTGCCCTTTCAGCCTAAAATGAGATAATGGAGTCATCAGCTGATGAATTAGAGGTGTGTATGTGTGTGAGAGATAAACACACACATACATACATCAAACCTGGGTGGCAACACTGTGTCTGTGTTGTGTGCCATTACTGAGAGCACCCTTTCCATCTAGGTCAATGAGACTCAAGGGACAGTTCACCCAAAAATGAATTATCTATCATTATTTACTTGCCCTCATATCGTACCAAACCTGTATGACCTCCTTTCTTCTGTGAGCGAACACAAAATTTTTGTCTGAACAATGAATGTCATTTGTTTGAATCATTGCATGGGCAAAAACATTCTTCAAAATATCTATTTTTTTGTATCACAGAATAACGAAAGTCATACAGGTTTGAAACGTGTGTGAGTAAATAATGCCATTGTTTATTTTTTATGAACTATCCATCTCTAAAAAAAACGGTTTCTGTACATTAACCCTGTCAAATATTCAACACAGACTCCTTGTGAAACTAGACAACTAGAGAATAGGGATGCATGATATTATCGGATCGTTATTGGCAGATAATAGCTTAAAATGTAAATATCGGCATCAGCCCGATATGAAATATTATACCGATATACCCTGACGATAAGAGGAATAATCTGCATGTGCTCAGGGTGTGCTAGCGATAAGATCACATCAGCAGTGTGGTCAATCTTGAAGCAAACGTTTGCCTGAATGGTGATTAGATTCACTATTTTGGATCGCCCCATTTAATCTGAGAATACAAGTACAGAATGACGTGTCCAGTGTGCGATAAAGTCAACAGTCACTAGCGCGTGCAACAACAGCCTCCCCCCGGCATCTAATGCCCGTCCGATAAGGAGCTGTCGGCCTACTTGTAATAAAATGAAAGTAAAATACACAAATAACATTAAGATTGTGTTTTTGATTAAATAAAGCAGTAATTGATGTCATAAAATCACAAGTATGTTTGAATTTAAAGGTCAGAATCTATAGCTTGCATGAATAAAAATCACAAACATGACACTAGTAAATTAAATAATTTTATATATAAGCCTACATATTCATTAATGTGTATATATACACATTAATATATATATATTTTTTTTTTTTCAAACAGATAATGAAAGCTTAAATACAAGGAAATCTAAAAGATTGTCAGAATTTTTACAACTCCTTTGCATTAGACCATCAAGTGTTAAATCTTACCACTAAAATGTACCACAACAAAATGTTAAGGTTAACACTGCATCTGTCTGGGAAAAATTTTTTTTTAAATTATTGTTTATTTAATTCTAACAAGTACGTTTTTGTTAGAAACTAACCAAAATTAAAAATTATTTGTTTATAATCTCTGCACAGGAGAGACCTGGTGCTGTTTCCAAACAAAAGGAAATATATCCGTATCGTCATCAGCTATCGGCATATTGGATATCAGCAAAAATCCAATATTGTGCATCCCTACTAGAGAACATTTTCAATCACTGATGAAAGAGAGAGCAAAAAGGTGAAAAGGTGAGATTAACAGGGCAAAGTATAAGATGATGGCATGAGGGGAGAAGACGTGAAAACATGCCCAAAACAATTCATCACGCTCATGTACTGATGCAGACGTGATTTAATGGACCACACCAATCAATCACACTACAAATTGAGGACAACATGAGGGGAGTATGAGTTTGAACATGCAGATGTCACAAGCTGGAGTACAGGGAATATATACTAACCAGCCTCCAGTAAATACCTAATCAATGTTCAACTCAGCTGCAGGATATTGCGCAAGTATGGTACAAATACAAAAACACTGGTATGGAGCTACATGACATTTTGCTCAGCATTTAAATAACGCTTCAAACCACTTTTCCTGTTCTGATCTTACCACAGTGATTCCCTGTAATTACAAAACTCCGAGTGACCTGAGGAGTCACTCCCAATGCATGACAAGCTCCCTTGAATAGCCCATGGCTCACTTTCACTCACATCTCTTGTGAATTGGTATGGACTGAAGAGCAATCATAAACATACACTTGCATATAAAAACAGCTGCACAAGTTGCAAATTTATAATGTGTATCTTGTAAGTCTTTGTTTTTAAAATAAGGAAATTAGTTTGGCTGTACTTCTCAGACAACTTGCAAAATAGTAAAACCAGCATGCCAAAGAATCGTGATAACATCATAAATTGTGATTTTCCTGAAAAAAATCATGTTATGATATTTTTGCCATATCGCCCACCCCTAGTACAAATATGCAATTGGTTTTTGCCACCTGGAAAAATTTGGCAGTACAAAAATAAGATAAAGCAAATATTACTAAATAAGAGATTAATCAATAAATAACAAATAATTGAATGTAATAATACTTTGCCTCCCTTAAGCTCACTGTGTTCTGAATGAAAAGTCATGTAAGAGATGGCAATGCCTACTTCACAGTGACTAGTTCATTATCTTGTCAATGCGCTGATGCCCGTCTCTCATGTTAACAAACAGGTCAAACTGGTGAAAATGACTAACTACTTACAAAGTAAACAACTTGGACATCACTTCTGTTCATGAATTGAAATAAACTGACTTGAAACTAGGGTTGGGTACCGAAACCTGGTACCAATATGGCACCAGTACCTATGTAACTGGTATGTACTAGAACCGAATCGCATGAGATGGCAGCAGGTAGCCTTCCGTTAACTAAACTAAACATGCTTATATTAAAATGCCTAAAGATAAACCTCCCTTGTATTCACATTTCTAAACCTGTTGTCCAACAAAAGAGAAAATTATCTTGCTCTGTAGTGGGCCGATGAACAACTGTTCTCCACGCACAAAAGCCATGCTATTTAATCTTATTACAATACAATAACCATGCAACACTCACTGCTCTCCTTCGAGCTCTTTTCAAAGCAAAAGTTTGCATTTCAGTGGCAAAACGAAGCCTTGAGAAGAGAAACAGAGATTAAAGGGATATTCCAAAAATTGATATTTTTTCATCATTTCTTCACCCTCATGTCGTTCCCCTGTGACCTACTTTCATCCGTGGAACACAGAAAGGAGACATTTGGCAAAATGCTAGGAACTGTCAGCCTCGGTAACCGTTCATGTGCATCTTTTCTCCATACAATGAAAGTGAATAGTGACCAAGGCTTTCATTCTGCACAACACCTTTGTGTTTCACTAAAGAAAGAAAGCTATACAGGTTTGGTAGAACATAAGGGTTCAACATTAACATTGAACATCAACATTGAACATCAACATTGAACTGTCCCTTAAACCCTTTAAAGCCTACCGTATGATATTTTAAGGCCTATAAAGTGTCAACATCAAAACTTGGCTGAAAATCTACTACACGCCTTCTGCCTTCTGCCCTCTGATTGATAGTTCATACTTTTTAGCAAGTAAAAAGCCTTTCAGTATATTTCTAAAATGTCCACCTTCAGGTTGTGGTACATGTGTCTGTTTGCTGTGAAATATTTAATGATTTTTACGAAGTAATGTTAGAAAAACTTTTATATTGTTAGTAATATTAATGTTAGGATGAACATTAACTGCACTAAAGCAACCGAGGTTTACTTGATTAGCCATACATCATTTTTTAAAGAAACATCATGTTATAATGTATGGATGAAATACAATACATCAGGCTTTCGAGGAACATTTGTTTGTACTTCTCTCAATCGTCATTGTATTGCATAGCATTGCATTATATTGTGTTTTCACCCCCACAATTAAAACAGAGCTTTGAACATAAAACTAAACATTTAAATACGATCTTAATAAGACATATTATTGGGAGATATAGAGTGACAACTAATATTAATATGCATTTTTGCAGGTATTCTGTTATACTATTAAACATTACAAGCTATCAAAATCTTACTCTTTGGTCATATAAATAACAACATCTGCAGTAAATTGCATATTTTCTGCTCAGTTTGGGCCTCTAAATAAAATCGAGGTGTTATTCCTCCTTGACTGTGAGCTCCATATTATCACTATATCATATATGGGCCATAAAAGCCTGATGTACCAAATGTGTTTTTATGGGTTATGCAAACTTTTTACTTAAAAAAAAAAATAGATTATTTCAAATGTCAGGCTTACGGGGTTAAGAAAATTAACACTACATGTGAACGTGAAAAGGAGCTCATGAACGTATTGTGCATGTACTAACTGTGTCATACGTCAATCCAACATTAAAACAGGGTAACCCGACATGCAACCCTCTGTTAAAGCCCAAAATGTAGCCTACAGATAGACAGGAGGCAGAAAGCCCGTGGGTTTCCTCTCATGATGGTGTGAGCCGTGACATGTAAGCAGAACTGAAGGCGCAACTGAGAGAACTGCTGGGTTACTCTTCAAACTCAGCGCACGTACATGGTCGCCCACGACTCGACTATCTATCTACACTGAGCCTATAGGGCCTAATCTGCACAGACAGGCTCGGAGAGGTGTTCAAATGAGATTTTAGGCACATCAAACCCCAGTGCTTTTCTGCAACAGGAAACGTCGAGGCCTTTTCTGAAAGTTGAGGAAGTGAGCGTGCAGTGATGAGCAGGAATTTCTCGCACTGGGTGCGACAGAGACTTTTAGGTTTCGGGCAGCGGGGCGGAAAATAAACTGTCTGCTCGTATACCAGCATGCAGCATTAAAATAACCCGTCGTAGTAAGGGCTTGCTGTTGTAGAGAATAAATATGTCTAGCTGCAAAAAAACAAACAAAAATACAAATTGGGTCCTCAAACAAACAAGATAATATCAGATCGCAGTTGACAACAGCAGCCGTTAAAGCAACTAAATGCCGCACTCCTACGCATACTCCGAAGAGATTTCAATTGCATGGGTGTACAAGAACAGAGCAGGGCTGTAGATTTATGGTGTAGCGTGCTGGTCACTCACCCCACCCTGGGTGAAATACGTAAGATGTCCAGTGATCATGTTTTTAAGAGCGTTTGCTTCGAGTGCCGATGCATATCCAGTAGGCTACAGATTAAACCTCACTCAGATCAACTAGTAGGTTTTCCCACGCCATCCCTCCAGCCTCGGAGGTTTGGTGGGATTGCTCATCATAGGGTGGGCTGTGAGAATATGATATCGTGACTTCAAAATAAGAAGTCCTGAACCTGAACTGAAAACTGCCGCTTACCTGGTCCCCGCCTTGTCGCCCATCTCCGCAGGCCTTTTCCGTCAATGAGGGGAAGATGCTGTGTAACGGATATTTAACTGAACCGAGACTTCGAGTAAAGCGGTTCTCCTTTCCTCAATCACTGCCACTCTCGCTGGTTTTCGCTGGGTAGTTTCCGCAGCCCAGAGACGGAAGCCTGTCGCCCCACTCCGCTCGCTGCCGCTTCAGTTCAGACAGCAAGCAACTGTGCTTTGGCCTCAGAGTTTGATAGGCGTCGTGAGTAGCCAATCAAATGTGGAGAAACGTCTGACGTCATCTCGCGGGTCACGAAATCCTCCCACTTTGCCCTAGGGACTACCAATCAGAAATGTCGTTTAGAAAGAACGTGCGCTGCTTAGTACAGTATGAGGAAAAAATAAAACGTTTACATATTTACGTACAACGTATGGCGTATCCGAGAATCTGTTCAGTGTTTTACGGAGAAACTGTGTTTGTAATATAATTGCCAGGATTTGGCAGACTTTTGCATTTTCATTTAAATGTCAACCGTTGAAATGTTATCTCTGAAAGGAGATCATTATAATGATGAGGCAAATGACAGGAGAGCAACAGACTACGAAGGACTGATAAACTGAAACGATAGTTAATTTTCTCCAAGACAAACTAATATAGAGTTCACTTAGCGCTGCATACTCCCATCTAATTTCGGTATGTCACTAATGTCATTATCGAAAGAATTCCCATGATGGCATTATGTAACGCAAGAGAGAACTCATGCAAACTTGTTCAATAAAACCTTTTAGTCTATGAATAAAACATTGCCTTGCGCCATCTAGCGACGTAAAGTTAAACAACATCCACATATAAATGTCACCAAAGGAAAATGCCTGTAAAATATATCTAGCCGTTCTATCTAGTATTCAGAAACATGGCTTTTCATACCACTGCTATGCTGATGACACTCAACTCTACCTGTCATTCAATCCTGATGATCCGACGATAGCTGCTCGCATCTCAGCATGTCTAACAGACATTTCTTGTTGGATGACGGACCATTATCTTCAACTCAACCTGGCCAAGACAGAACTGCTTGTGGTTTCAACAAACCCATCACTTTATCAAAATTTCACCATCCAGTTAGGCTCATCAATCATTTGTAAGTCGCTTTGGATAAAAGCGTCTACTAAATGACTAAATGTAATGTAAATGTAAATATATCTTAACACAGCTGCTGTTGATTACGAGTTGATGAATAATGCGTTTACATAGACATATTTAGAAAATAAGCCATAAGATTAATTTAAGAGTTCCTGCAATGAAGAACTGAAAATCAGGGATTCGTAGTCTAACCTTTGATGATTTAAAGACCATAGTGGACCACAAGGACTTCAGGGTCTGGTTGCCCCAAACTGGACTTTTGAGTGCCTTGTCTAAGCGTAGACACAGAACATTTGTGAACCATGATGCAGATGGGGCTATTATTTAAGTAATGAATATTTATTTAATTTAAAACTATTGCTTATATTGAAGAAAGAAGTATATATATGCTTCAAACGCTTTTACGATTTCAGTATCACTACACACAAATGTTGGGTTATTTTTTCTACCCAACCGCTGGGTTAAGCCTGTTGGGTCATTTTATTGGGTTATTTTCTCAGTGTTGGGTAGTTTTTTGTGTAACCCAGCCGCTGGGTTACCAGTTGGGTCAATTTTAGTGACAGTTGACACAGTGAACCCCTCCCCCCCCTCGACACCTCAACGCTACCTTCGCGGGCATTTTGAATCGGCTCAGGAGTCATCGTTTTTCAGCGAGGACAGCTGTTATTCGGAGAAAAAAAGGTATGTTTGTGTGTTTTTTTTATCTATAAAACTATTACTGTTCACCAGAAAATGCAAAAGTATGCAAAATAAGGCGGTTCACTTGACATTAACAGTTTTAAAAAGTAACTCCTTGCTTCGTTAGCTTTGTTTTGCTAGTATGTAGGCCCATTTTGTAATACAGCTTTTTCATGCCTTTTAAATAAATCAAACGTCTCCTTTGGCCAACATTTCCTCTGAAATATGTGACTTATGTGAGACATTTAGTTGGTTTAAGGTCGATATATAGACACCTGACGCGAGTGTCGTGTCATAAAGCAAACACACACATATACATATATATATAAGTTATATAACTTAAATGCGCGACGCGTGTTTGTTTTATGACACGACACTCGATCGCGTCAGGTGTCCATAAACTATCGACTTTTGTTCAAAATTAGTTAGTACATCATGAGTCCATCTTCCAAACCGTGTTTTTGTCCTGTCCTGAAACACTAGGGTGAGTAACGTTACAATAAGTGTTTATATTCTGACTAACGTTACTTAAAACCTGTTGGACTGGGGAGTAACCTACTTACAGCACTGGTCATATCCATAAATAGAGAGAAGTAGCAGTCGTGGCTTGTTTAATGTCTTAAGACGTTGATACGTGGCTTTATATAAAGCATATGAGTGAGTTCATGTGTGACATATCTGCAATCTTAGAAGGTGCACTTACGTGCAAATTTAAAACCATAGTCATATAGTTCTATAGCACGAAAAATTTAGATATAGCAAAGTTATGTTTTATTAATTAACTAAATGAAGGCAATGTATATGTCTGTTGAATAATCCGTTTTTCTGTGTAAAGTAATTACATATTTGCCGAAACAAATTAAATCTGTTCAAAATATAGTTTGTCAGACAATAATAATAATAATGTTTGCCTCTTGAATATTAAATGTCCCTGTTTAGTGAAAGAGATTTGATTATGCAGCAATAAACTAGCCAGTATGTCTTAATGCATGTGTTTTGATAATTGAAAACATGATCAAAACAAACATGTTTTAATGAGAAGAGTTCAAATAAGTGAGCAAATGAAAAATATCTGTATCGGGCAAAAAATTCTTATTGGTGTATCCCACCAGAATAATAATAGATAATTTTGTACAGGAGAAGCTGAAAGAATGGAACTTGGATGTCCCGATACCAAGCTTTAAAGGTAAACTTTATTTAGGTAAAATGAAAATGCGCCTCTCTATATGTTCATTATAACCTATTGTGCTCTGGGTAAGCCAGTTTTCTTACATTCTTCTCTTCTTGCCTTTTTTCTTCTCTTTCTCTTTACAGATGAACAAATTGATGAAGAAACCCTCCTGCTGCTTGATGAAAAATATGAAAAATCAATGATACCAAAGATAGGCCTACGACTGAAATTTAAAAAGCACCTGAGAGAGCTGCTTGTTCTGCTTGTTGTAATGCACATTTAAGATGGGATATATCTGCTTTAAGTGCAAAAAGACTTGGGGCCAATGTTCGTTTTTTGTTTTCTCATCTAAGGAGAATGCATAATGTATATAGTTCATCAAGTTATTTTGAGTGTGGCCAAGCCGGGTGTCACAGGACATTTAATTACAGCAGATCATTTAAGAGACATCTGCTTCAGCACCATGTAGAGGCCAAAATTAGTTAGTCTTAAAAAAAAACTATGAAATGGGTTAAACACTTTCAATAAAGACTGAAGATAGAGCATTGCCTTTTTTGCCTTTTA